TTGTTTTTCTGATGGTGGTCATCCTATTTTTTTTTTTAAAGATTTTATTTATTTATTTGAGAGAGAGAGAATGAAAGACAGAGAGCATGAGAGGGAGGAGGGTCAGAGGGAGAAGCAGACTCCCTGCCAAGCAGGGAGCCCGATGCGGGACTCAATCCCGGGACTCCAGGATCATGACCTGAGCTGAAGGCAGTCGCCCAACCAACTGAGCCACCCAGGCACCCCTGATGGTGGTCATCCTAATGGATGTGAGATATCTTATTGTGGTTTTGATTTGCATTTCTCCAACGATTAGTGATGTTGAATGTCTTTTCATAGGCTTGTTAGCCATTTGTGCATCTTCTTTGGAGAAATGCCTACTTAAGTCCTTTGTCCATTTTTAAATCTGATTATTTTGTTGAGTTGTGGGAGTTTTGTATAAATTCTGGCTATTAAGCCCTCATCAGACATGATCGGCAAGTATTTTTTCCCATTGTGTACACTGACATCTCATTCTGTTGTTTCCTTTGATGTGCAAAAGTTTTTAAGTTTAATGTAGTCTATTTCTGCTTTTGTTGCCTGTGCTTTTGGTGTCATATCCAAGAAGTCATTGCCAAATTCAAAGTCACGAAGCTTTTCACCTATGTTTTCTTCTAGTTTTAAGTATTATGTTTACATCTTTAACCCATTGAGTTAATTTCTGTATATGGTGTAAAGTAACTATAAAAATTCTTTTGCATGTGGGTATTGTTTTCCTGGCAACATTTTTTGAAGAGACTGTCCTTTCCCTATCATGTAGTCTTGGCACCCTTATTGAAGATCATCTGCCCACATACATGAGGGTTTATTTCTTGGCTCTCCATTCTATTCCACTGATCTTTGTGTTTATGCAAGTACAGTGCTGTTTTGATTATTGTAGCTCTGTAATACATTGAGCCATGACTAAGTACATGATTTTAAGTTTTTGAGTCACTTTATTTATTTTTATTTTTTTATTTTTTAAGATTTTATTTATTTATTTGAGAGAGAGAGAATGAGAGACAGAGAGCATGAGAGGGAGGAGGGTCAGAGGGAGAAGCAGACTCCCTGCCGAGCAGGGAGCCCGATGCGGGACTCGATCCCGGGACTCCAGGATCATGACCTGAGCCGAAGGCAGTCGCTTAACCAACTGAGCCACCCAGGCGCCCTTGAGTCACTTTAATTCTGTCTGGTGTATACGGTATAGAGTTGCATTTTACTTTATAAGCCAATCTGGAGATTTTTTTCTTTAAATAGATGAATCAAGGCCATTCACAGTCTTTGGTTAAGTCTAATATTTGGGTCCAATTGTCATTTGTTTTCTTATATTTACTGTGTATATCATATGTTGACTGTATTTATTTGTTGTTCCTTTGTAGTTTTTATTTCCTTGGATAGAAAAAAATGGAAGGTTTTCTAGAAGTACATTTATAATACTATATATAAAGCTGGCCATAGACACCTTTGTCCTAACTTTACATTCTACAGTTTGATTTGCCGGGTTTAAATGATACCTTTAACTCCTACCTATTACTTAAAAGACAGTCAAAGAGTTTCTTTTACTTTGTCCCTTTTTTCCCTCTTATTTTAAAAATTTCATTATTTCTGTCAGAATATATCATTTCTACCCAATATTCTTCTACCCCTTGTATTATTCTTGGGTCTACAAGTTACAGTATATTTAGCACCCTAATTTACAGTTTTCCCAGTCATTGCTTAATTGGACGAAATTAATTCTTTTGCAGATTTCTCAGGAAGCAGCACTCTTGATTATAGCATTACCTGGGGTTCCTGCATACTTAAAAACTTTGCTTTGACTCCTAAAGTACAGGCTGGCTGAATATAAAACCTTGGCTCATACTTTTCCATATCTTGAAAATATTCTTATTTATCTTAGCATGTTGTTGTTGAGAATTCTAACAACCTGATTTGACTCTTTTTGTCTAGACGCCCTGGGGATTTTGTTTTCCTCTTTATATTTGAAGTCTAATGCTTTTACTAAGATATGTCTTGGAATTGACAAATCTGGATCCACTTCCACTCAGACATTATTCATTTCTGGAAACTCTTCTTGAATTATAGGTTTAAATATTAGTTCTGTTCCATTATTTTTCTTCTTCAGGGACTTCCAATTATTCATACATTGGCTCTTCTTTGTGTGGCCTCTATGTTGAACTCTTTCTCTGTGATCCTTTTCACTTATTTTAAAAATTTTCACTCTGGCCTTTCATACTTTTTTTTTTGAATATTTTATTTTATTTATTAGAGAGAGATAGAGAGCATGAGAAGGGGGAGGGTCAGAGGGAGAAGCAGACTCCCAGCAGAGCATGGGACTCCAGGGACTCCAGGATCATGACCTGAGCCAAAGGCAGTCGCTTAACCGACTGAGCCACCCAGGCGCCTGGCCTTTCATACTTTTTTTTTTTTTTTAAGATTTTATTTATTTATTTGACAGAGAGAGACACAGTGAGAGAGGCAACACAAGCAGGGGGAGTGGGAGAGGGAGAAGCAGGCTTCCTGATGAGCAGGGAGCCCAATGTGGGGTTCGATCCCAGGACCCTGGGATCATGACCCGAGCTGAAGGCAGCCGCTTAACCGACTGAGCCACCCAGGCGCCCCAATACTTTTAATTATCTTTCATACACTTTCAGTTGAACCTGTTCTCCCTCAAGGATCTTGTAATCTCCAAGATGACTTTGTCTTTATTCCTCAGATTCTGAATTCATTCAACTCTTGTTTTCTCCCTTCCTGCTTTGTTTTTGGTCTACTTCTGTTCTAGGTTTTGTAGTTTATCACTTGAGGTGTTTTCTCATATCTGCAAGTTTTCCAAAGGTATTTATTCCTTTTGGAATGTATCAGTTTTCTTTTGTTCAGTTTCATTTTGGGTGTTAATTTTCATCAGCTGAAATATTTTATTTTTTAAGATTTTATTTATTTGACAGAGAGAGATACAGCGAGAGAGGGAACACAAGCAGGGGGAGTGGGAGAGGGAGAAGCAGGCTTCCCGCGGAGCGGGGAGCCCGATGCGGGGCTCGATCCCAGGACCCTGGGACCATGACCTGAGCCGAAGGCAGACGCTTAACGACTGAGCCACCCAGGCGCCCCTAGCTGAAATATTTTAATTTTATAGCTTTGTATGAATGTCAACTGCTGTTTTCTGTTCACTTTGATTTTTTTTTTTTTAAAGATTTTATTTATTTATTCATGAGAGACAGAGAGAGAGAGAGAAGCAGGCTCCCAAGGAGCAGGGAGCCCGATGCAGGACTCGATCCCAGGACCCTGAGATCATGACCTGAGCCAAAGGCAGACGCTTAACCAACTGAGCCACCCAGGCGCCCCACTTTGAGTTCTTAAAACTTTTGAAGTTCAAACTTACAGAAAGTTTCTTTCCTTTTCTTCTGTAAACTTCATACGACCAGTTATGTTGTAGAAGGTCCCTCAATTTAAATTGGCCTGATGCTTCCTTATAATTAGATCCAGGTTGTGCTTTTTGGGTTTGTTTTTACAAAAATGGCACAAAAGGGGGGCCACTGAGGGTGCCTCAGTCGGTTAAGCGTCTGACTCTTGATATCAGCTCAGGTTGTGGTCTCAGGGTCCTGGGATCAAGCCCACATCAGGCTCTGCACTCAGCGTGGAGTCTGCTTACCCCCCCTCCTCTCCCCGCCCCCGCTTGCTCTAAAAAATGAATAAAATCTTTAAAAAAACAAACCAAAAAATCCAAGAATGCCACAAAGGTGATACTTTGCTCTTAATAGTTATGATCCATGATAGTGGTCTGTCCCATTACTAGTAATGCTAATTGTGCTTGGATAAGGTGATACCTACCTGGTTCCTTCACTGTAAAGTCACTGTTTTTCCCCTTTCTTTTTTTTTCTTAAAGATTTTATTTATTTATTTGACAGGGAAAGACACAGCGAGAGAGGGGACACAAACGGGGAGTGGGAGAGGGAGAAGCAGACTCCCTGCCGAGCAGGGAGCCCGATGTGGGACTCGATCCCGGGACTCCAGGATCATGACCTGAGCCGAAGGCAGTCGCTTAACCAACTGAGCCACCCAGGCGCCCCTGTTTTTCCCCTTTCTAACTAGTATTTTATTTTATGGAAAGATACTTTGAGACTATACGCTTTCCCTTACAAACTCACCTGCCAGTTTTAGCACCCAAAGATGATGACTGCCTAGATCAATTATTACTGCAGTGGCTGCCAAATAGTGACTTTCTAATTTTGTCATTCTTCCTGTTTCATAGGTCGCTATTATTCTAACAGAGAGCTTTCCCTTTTCCTTCATGGATTTACTCATGGCGATACAAACTGAGTACACAGAATGTATAATACATGCTCCTAAATCTTGAGAGATACCTTTGAAATATTTATGTAGAAAGGTCATGATGTCTGTAGCTTATCCTCGAATGCTTCAGCAAAATAATAGCAATAATACACACACAATCACGAGTGTCAAGTCAAATGTGACAAATGTTATTCAATCTAATTGAACAGTATATGGCAGATCATTGTACTGTTTTGCAACTTTTTTGTGGATCTTTTTTCAAAATATAAGGCCTATATACAGCAGTTTTGAGACACACTGCCAAAACCTTCACAGATATTTGAAAAAAAATTAAAGTCAGCCTATAGTTTTAATTTACCAGCATTTGAATATATTCAAATTTTATTACCATTGTCTGTAGACATTTAACACTAGCATCTGTGCAACAGTCCTCTGAGGCAGAGAGCACACCACACAAATCTTACACACCAAGATAACAGTACCATGTTCGACAAGACTGTTTCATGATTAAGTAAACCAAGCATGACAAAGCAGCTGACTCATGATGAATGATTAGGACATAAGTGAACTGATCACATAGGGAACATTAAAGTAATATTAAAATGTTTAAAAAGTTTAGAATTTTTCCCTAAGACTATATATAGGCAGGTTCACATAATAGAAACCTGTCCATTACAGCACTCTGAGGTTTTAGCAAAGCATACGTTATAGACATATTTGCCATACAGTGCAATTTTATTGTGTAAGACATGAATAATAGTGCACTTAAATCCAAGAGTCACATTCAAATATATCAAGAATACAATCCAAATACCCGGCTATTGAAGAAATACATACTCTTTTTTTTATATAACTACATTGTGCAAGTACATTTTTAGTGTAGATGGTAATAATCTATAAGGATTCTAAGCAACACAACTCGGTGTACTTGTGTAGAATAATCCACGTCTCCAAAGATATGTGCATTTTAAAAGTGAAGGAAATGGAAAATGTCTTGGGCAGAGACACAGGCAGTGTTGCACAAGTTTTTATTACAAATTACCAATACAGTTAATCTGTATACTCACAGGTGGTTAAAACAGAATGGTTCTAAACATCAGGAAGCTCTCATCAGGAATTATTTTTTAGGACAATGTAGTGTCTACAGTGAGCCCCACTATCTTTCACTGAACTAAGCACAAACTACAGTTCCACAACGAGTTCAAAAATAGGACTTTCTTAAGGGGAATTTAGATAAGAAGTTCAAACCTTCCAGAACCTCATCCTACAGTTTCATGGGGTCTCATCTGAGCTACTGGTTTAAAGGAAGAAGATGCTGTGGACATGATATAAAGACTGAGTGATGGGAGAAATAGTTTACTTAAGAGAAAAAACCAGAAAACTGATACGATAAGAAAATTAGCACTTCGTATCATCTGAGAATAAATATTAATGGAGAAATCAGTCTTTAAATGTTTTTTGTTAAGATGGTGAAGTACATAAAAATACTATCTGGTAATAACTTAGGGTATCAGCTCTGGAGGGGGAAAAGATCTAACCCACATTAAAGAATAATAAATAACTAATCTATGTTGTCTTGAGCTATAATAAACCTGTACCAGATGTACTGACTGATTTCATTCTCTGGGAAGTTTCAAAGCTGCCAGAACAGGGGCAAATTCTAAAATTTGCCCTTTTTTTGGTCCAGGAAATAACTTTCTCATAAAAGGTGCTCATGATAACCTCTTGTAGTTACCAAAATTTTGCCTCAGGTTGGGGTCTGATAATAAGTGAACCAGATGAACTGGTTAAGGCTGCCAATTAAAACAGCTAACTCTGAAACCAGATTAACCACAAGAGTCACATCTCTACTAAGCAGATTTTAAATTTTTTAAAAATTATTTTTATTGGGGCGCCTAGGTGGCTCAGTTGGTTGAGCGACTGCCTTCGGCTCAGGTTGTGATCCTGGAGTCCCGGGATTGAGTCCCACATCGGGCTCCCTGCTCGGCAGGGAGTCTGCTTCTCCCTCTGACCCTCCTCCCTCTCATGCTCTCTCTCATTCTCTCTGTCTCAAATAAATAAATAAATCTTAAAAAAAAATTATTTTTATTTATTTATTTATTTATTTATTTATTTATTTATTTATTTGCAGGAGCGAGAGAGATAGCATGAGCAGCAGGGAGAGGGAAAAGCAGGCTCCCCGCTGAGCAGGGAGCCTGACGTGGGGCTCGATCCCAGGACCCTTGGGATCATGACCTGAGCCACCCAGGCACCCCGCAGATTTTTTTTTTTTTAAGTACAGCAAAATGTTCCTTCTATTTTTCACTTCAAGAGACAAACTACTGATCAGATCTTTCCCATGATACTGATTTTTAAATTTAATATAAATACTCAAAAACTAAAATATCACTAAATTTCATCCTTTAAAATGAAAAGTAATGACATATCACCTCTGTAAATCAGGCCTCAGAGTTCAAAGAAAAGCTTTTAAATTACCCATATGGGATCTGAAATGACTATTGTCTTCCAAAGTTTTCCCAAAAATCACTTTAAAATCTTGTTTCAAAGGCCTAATTTTTCTCAGAAACAAAATATATTTATAGGTTGTTTTAATTCTATTAGATTTTATAACTTTCTGCTGTTTTCTTTCTATTTAATAAAACCAGAATGAAAAAATTTGACCAATTACTGAAAAGTTTTACCACCCAAAGAGTTTCAAAATCTTAATATAATCAACCAACTATGTTCTTGTGGTTTCTAAAAAAAAAATTGTTAATTTAAAATCTAAGGATCCTTGTACTGCCGATAGAAGACTGTAGCAATCTTTTGTATTTTTAGAATATTCTCTGTAGGACCTACTTTTGCATCCCCAAAATGTAAACCAGCCTTTACTATAAATGAATACATAAGATGCTTAATATATATAAACTTGATTTTATCTCACTTGGTTATTATTGGCTCCTACGGGGTAATTCGCTTGCTCACTAATTCTGCCACCACTCTCTTCATTCAAGTTTTTAAAGCCACCTTTATCAAAGATGATTCTCCAAACTTAAAGTTTAACAAGTATCTTCTCATGAGTATATCCACTGTATGTATTCTTCTTATCCAAGGAATGGGTAACTTCATAATATTACTAAAATCCCTCTTTAAATTATATTGATAATGCACCTCTGACACAGTTCTTGAGTTTGGGAAAACCCTAATATTTGCATTATTAGATGTCCCCTTTGAAAATACACTGATAACAAAGATTGTTTTTTATGACCTATAAACAGAACTGAGGTTTGCACAATCCCTAATTATAAATTAATACTAAAATGCAAACTTGTCCAAATAGCTTAAGATCACTGCCTCAATAAAAGAAAGAAAAAGAAACACTATGCTATTATTGGACTATGTCTCACACATAAAATGTTCATCAGGAAGACAGGTATAAATTGATGGCATACACTTTCTCCATGACCAAGCCTAATAAAAGCTTCCACCCACAGAAGCCATATGGCTAATCAGTGTCACCAGTGGGAGTCACTTCTAAAGAATCACTAAAAACAACAACATCAAAACAAAACTCTAAATGGTTTTCCTTATGGGTCCGTGAACTGAGAAGAGCTCCTTCAGATCTACTCTTGAGACAAAAACAGGAGCAAACAAAAAGATCAGCTGCATGAACAAACACAGCAAGTAATTTTCAGGGGTGATAAAAAAGCTGGAGTATTTCCTCTTCTAAAAGATTAACATAAACATTTCACACAACATGGAGATATTGATAGCAAGGTCTCCTTTGCTCCTTGCTGTAGCCTTTTTGTGAGGGCTTTAATGCCTGAAGACTCATGACTATAGCCAAGAAAATAAGTCAAGAATAAATCTGAGCTTAGAGGAGAAGGCAGGCAAATATACCAAAGGAGAGTTCTGATATCTGTTGCTGTTGTCCAAGCCTTTTGCTACCAGTCCAAGGAAACAGAAAAAAGATGAAGTTTGGGAAACTGGAGATAGAAAGTATTTGCTGTTTTCTAAGGCGTCTGAATGTGGCTATTGATTATGCTAGACTAGATATTTTTTAAAATTATATTTTTAGCTCAATACATAGCTCTAAAGCAGGGTTCAGTTTTGGTGTGCTTTACACTGAAATGGTTATATACAGAGGGGGTGGAAATGGTTATTAATCGTTTACTCTTCAACTATCCTTTTAATGGAAAACTAGAATTGACAGTATTTATTAAAATGAACAGTGCCACAAAACAGAAATGTATATAGAAAGCACTGAACCACAAACTTTTACAGTAGCAGGAATAAACTAGCATAGCATAAATACAGTCATAACATTGAAACATTTCAATCTGTTTCTGCAGTTTAAAACACAGCTGTGTCATGTTCATCAACTTTCACCTCCCACTTCAATTAGATTTGCCTAACATATAATGAACAAATCAGCAGTCAAGGTAAATTTTCAAAAGGCTCAAGCCAACGTGAAAGGTTTAAGCTTAGTATTAGTAAACTCTCAGAATACTTAAAAATAAAACAAAACACAATAAAACTTAACACACATACATACATGAAACAGTGCAGTAAGAACTTCAGACAAGGGCAGTGCACTTCTGGTTTAAGGAAACCATATTTGTAGCTTAATTATAACAAACGTCTACCTAAATAATGGTTTAATGGGATATCCAGCATTTGATATGCATTTAATATGTATGGTCAAAAAACCTGAAAAACCAATTCAACAGTAACGATACCATATCAGTAACAAATTCCTACTTTATTTCTATATTGCACATACTTCTACTGTCTACTGTTAAAATTTACTTCTTAATCTAAATATCAAAGGATTATACCTATAACCCTTGTAAAAATATTTACCTTGAATAAATATTCAGATTTTCCTTTCTTAACAAACCAGAATGAGAATGAATTCAGCTTTGTTAATCCAAAGCTATTTTAAAGAGAAGGGTAAAGGTATTGGAAACAGCATGTTAATCACAAAATTCTTGGTTTAACAACCATTTCAGTTTTGAAAAATATTTCTGTGTTTGGAGTGTTTAAAGTCTGATCTTTTTTAAAACTAACACATATTCCCTAAAGAGATTAATCATATCCTTGACTGGTCTGGAGCACTGTTTGGAAAGTAGACACAGAAAAAATTTTAGATTAAATGGCATATAACACAAATGGCATTAAATAGGTCACCTGTTTCACATAAAATAAAATGACTAGCACCTCCTTTCTGCTCCCAAAGTAAAAAGGCCTAAAAGGCCACATGAAACATGAGTAATTACAGTAAGTTTCATTCGTAAAGTATTGAGAAGTCCACTACATTAGAGGGTTCTCACATCTAAAGCCTTAGGTTCAAGGCTACTGTGTAAAAGTGAACTGAAGGGCCAAAGGAGAGAGACAGATGGGATTCAGTTCCAGGAAGGTCCTTATTTATGTAGGTTGTGGGGAGATTTTTCAGGGACTCTCCTGCATCCCATCCTCAGTTTCCAGTTCTGCCAACTGCCTCCTAAGTACATTTACTTTTGCTTGTAATTCCTTGTTATATTCAATGATGTTAACCATTTCTTCATATGCTTCATCCAAATACTTGGAGGATCTGTTCCAACGGAGGAAAATACCTATTGAATCCAGGAAAGGAAGACAGAAGGCAAAAAGATACATACAATGGATTAACTATTCCATCATTATACATTCTTTTTTCTTTTTCTTAAAATTCACATCTGTGTTTTATTATACTCTGGAAGAAGCAGGAATCCTGAAGTACTGAAAGTGTAACTAAATACACTAAAACATCACTATTTCTATGTACATAATCATTCATTCTTCAACCTCCCCCCAACAAAATTATGAAATGGATTAAAACACTATTCTCTGATATATCCAGGATTATAAATAAGCTGGTAACTTACAATGCCATAAATTTTCCAGTTTCACAATACAGTGAATTACAGAATTTCAATTACAGAACTTTACTCAGAACCATAGGACCTCATACATGTGTAAAATCACTTTCACTAGAAAAGTGAGAGAGCAACCGCTGAACCATACATTGTTATTTAAAACCCTAAACTTCCCAACAAACAAAAGCTTAGGACCAGATGGCTTCACAAGTGAAATCTATCAAACATTTAGAGAAGAGTTAATACTTATTCTTCTCAAACTATTCCAAAAAGTTGAAGGGGAAGGAATGTTTCCAAACTCATTCCATGAGGCCACCATTACCCTGATACCAAAACCAAACAAACACACACAAAACAAGAAAATTATAGGCCAACAGCCCTGATAAACATAGATGCAAAAATCCTGAACAAAATATCAGCAAAGTGAATTCAGCAATACATGAAAAGCATCATATACCATGATCAAGCAAGATTCATTCTAGAGATGCCAGGATGGTTCAACAGCCACAAGTCAATCAACACAACATGCCACATTAACAAAAAGAAGGATAAAATCATGTGATCATCTCAACAGATTCAGACAAAGCATATGATAAATTCAACATTCATTTATGATTAAAAACTCACAACAAACTAAGTATAGAGGCCATATATGACAAACCAACAGCTAACATACACAACCGTGAAAAGCTGAAAGCTTTTCCTCTAGATCACAAACAAGACAAAGAGGCCTACTCTTACTAATACTTTTACTCAACACAGTATCAGAGATCCTAGCCCAGAAATCAGACAAGAAAAAGAAATAAAAGGCTCCCAAATAGGAAAAGAAGCAACACTGCCACTATCTGCAGATGACATAATACTATATATAAAAAATCCTGAAGACTCCACCAAAAAACTACTGAGACTAATAAATTCAGTAAGGTTGAAGAATACAAAATTAATACACATAAGTTCACATTTTTATATAATAACCATGAACTATCAGAGAAATTAAGAAAAACAATCCCATTTATAATTGCATAAAAAATACCTAGGGATAGGAGGAAGATCTTTCACTAAAGAAGTAAAAGACCTATACTCTGAAAACTATAAGACATTGATAAAAGAAACTGAAACAGCACAAATAAATGGGAAGATATACCATGCTCGTGGATTGGAAGACTATTGTAAAATGCCCATACTACCCAAAGCATCTACAGATTCAATGCAATCCCTATCAAAAGACATTTTTCACAGAAATAGAACAAATAATCCTACAACCTGTATGAAACCACAAAAGACCCCAAATAGCTAAAGCAATCTTGAAAAAAGAACAAAGCTGGAGGTATCACCTTCCCTGAGTTCAAGATATACTACAAAGCTACAGTGACCAAAACACTATGTTAACAGCACAAAAACAGACACACAGACCAACAAAACAGAGGGGAGTCCAGAAATAAACCCACACTTAAGACAGTCAATTAATTTTCAACAAAGAAGGCAAGAATATATAGTGGGGGAAAAGATAGTCTCTTCAATAAATGATGCTGGGATAACTGGACAGCTACATGCAAAACAATGTACTGGATCACTTTCTTACATCATATACAAAAGTAAACTCAAAATGGATTAAAGATTTAAATGTAAGAACAGAAACGATAAAACACGTAGAAGAAAGCATAGGCAGTATCTCTTTGACATCAGTTTTAGCAGTAATTTTTTGGATATGTCTCATCAGGCAAAGGCTAACAAAAGCAAAAATGAACAAATGGGACCACATCAAACTAGAAAGCTTTTGCACAATGAAGGAAACCATCAACAAAAGGCAACCTACTGAATGGGAGAAGATATTTTGAAATGATATAACTGATAAAGGGTTAATATAAAAAATATAAAAGAATCACATAACTCAATATCAAAAAAACCAATCCAATTAAAAAATAGGTACACGACTTGAATAGAAATTTCTCCAAAGAAGACATATAGCTGGCCAAGAGACACAGAAGAAGATGCTCAACATCACAAATTATCAGGGTAAAATGCAAATCAAAACCACATGAGGTATTAGCTCACACCTGTCAGAATGACTAGTATCAAAAAGACAAGAAATAACAGCCATTGGCAAGGATGCAGAGAAAAGGGAACCCTCATGCATTGTAGGTGGGAATGCAAAATTGTGTAGCCACTACGGAAAACAGTATGGAGGTTCCTCAGAATATTAAAAATAGACTACTATAGGATCTAGCATTTCCACTTCTGGGTATTTATCCAAAGAAAATGAACACACAAATTCAAAAAGACATATGCACCCCTATGTTAACTGCAGCATTATTTATGATAGCCAAGGTATGGAAGCAACCTAAGTGTCCATCAACAGATGAATGGATAAAGAAGATGTAGTATAGATACACCACAATGGAATACTACCCAGCCATAAAAAAGAATGACATCTTCCTATTTGCAACAATATAGATGGGCCCAGAGGGTATCATGCCAAGTGAAATAAGTCAGGTGGAGAATGATAAATCCCACATAATTTCACTTAGATGTGGAATCTAAAAAACAAAAACAAAACAAAACAAACAAACAAAAGAAAACAGAAACACAGATACAGAGAACAATTTGATGGTTGCTACAGGGGAGGGAGATGGGGTGATGGACAAAACAGGGAAAGGGGATTAAAAGGCACAAACTTCTAGTTATAAATAAGACATGGGGATGCAATGTATAGCTTAGGGAACATAGTTAATAACAGTGTAACAACTTTGTATGGTGACAGGCTGTAGCTAGACTTACCATGGTGATCACTTTGTAATGTATGTAAATGTTGAATCACTATGCTGTACACCTGAAACTAATATATGTCAACTACACTTCAATTAAGGAAAATAATAAAAAGCCTAAACTTCAGTGCGCTCTCTCCCTGTCTCTTAAGAGGTGGTCTTCCAATTCTACAGGCACATTCTTCTTTTCCCAATAACTATCCTTTTTTTATAGACTAAAAGGAAACATTTCCTCATCTGCATAGATCTACATTAGCTCTATCATCCCAACATCATGGCTTAAAGACATTCAAATAAGGAGGTACAAAAACTCTCCAGGCAGCAGTATTGTCAGTAGCTGGTAAGTTCACAAAGGTTTTATGATTCTTTAAAACACTTTCTATAAACCAAACTGCCAGAACCCTAAAGCTACTCTCTATCAGAAAGGGAAAACAGAAACATAGCTTAAAGAATGGACTTTGTTGATTTTTCCGTTATATGAGCCTGTATTTAAAATCCTGTTCTTCAATTCAGGAATTACTTAATACTAATGGCTAACTATGATGTAAATATAAACAGAAGAGAGACATTTTAAGCTCATTATACAACCCATATACCCACTATGAGAAGATTTTACCTCACACAGAATTTCTTCCATTTCTAAGCTGGGGCACTAAACACATATGGAAACTCTGTTCTTAATGGAATGGTAGGAATTCATTCATGTAACAACAAGATTTCCTCCAATCACTTCATCTCTAAACTCTCAATGCGGTTTGGTAAAAAACTAGTTACATCGTCCATTAGGCCATTTAACTCCAAATCTGGCTTTTCTCCCAAGTAGCTAGTCTCTTACTTCAGTTACTAAACATGACAGTGGCTTCTAGGTAAAAACTGTCCCAGAAATCTTTAACAAAAAGTTTGGCTGTAATCTCTCATTTAAGAGATCACTTATCCTGTACCGGGGACTGTCTAAAACAATGAAGAAAGTAAACAAAGAGAAGTTCTGAGCAGCCAAAAATTCCCAAAGCACTAAAGCTCAGACTCCGAGAACCTGGAGACTATCTGAGGCCACTTTCCCACAATTCTAACTTGCGGACACCTAAAGAGATAAGATTAGAAGCATAAACTGAGGAGGAAGGAAGCAGCTAATGACAGATATGCCAAGAGGAATGAGATGTAAGAGCTGACATCCAGAGAAGTGACAGAAACGGACTTAGTCTCAAACTGAGAGAGCAAAGCAATCTGAGGCCCTTTTACAGATAAAGGGCAAACAGTTTCCCACACATGAACTGCCCTTGTGGGCATAACATATTAAAATGTGGTATAATAACTGACATTTATGGTAATTCAGTTCAATTACCAAACAGCTAGCATTCTTTGTGTGTAGGTTTTGTGCCATTTAATACAGATGAGGGGCGCCTGGGTGGCTCAGTCAGTTAAGCGTCCGACTCTTGGTTTAGGCTCAGATCATGATCTTGGGGTCATGAGATTAAGTGCCTCACTGGGCTCAGTGCAAGAGTGCGCTTGAGATTCTCTCTCTCCCTCTTCCTCTGCCACCCGGGTGGCCATGCGCTCTCTCAAATAAATAAATAAATATTAAAAAAAATACAAAAATGAATAAAGATGTACTTAATACCTTCAAAATGATCAAAAAGAAATGGCACTTTGTAGTCTTTGTTTAAGGGATGGCTAATATAGTTTAGACAGATTTTGGTTAGATTTTTAAAGACAAGCTTTCGTATTTATGGAGATAAATTTCAGGAGTCTGAAAAATTTATGTAGGTTAAATACCTTCTTTAGAATGAATTAGAAAATTAAGTATGGATTATTGTTCCACATGAACAATGAGGTATGTGCATCACTGCACTGATAGCATTATGTTGGTTTATAGAACCTTACTAGAATGCCTAGTTCATTAACCTTTCAGTAGCATTTAACAGAGGAACCTTTCCCAATGGCTGCTTAATGAAGGAAACAGAAACCATTTCCTTGGAGCTTACAATTTATTCCTATCCCAACTACCTACCAACTTTCTTACACAAAAAGTAATGTACTTTCCCTCATACCCATTAGAATGGCCACTACCAAAGGGGGGAAAAAATCCGAAAATAACAAGTGTTGGCAAGGATGTGGAGAAATTGGAACCCTTGTGCACTGTTGGTGCAACTGTAAAATGGTGCAACTGTTATGGAAAATGGTATGGTAGTTCCTCAAAAATTAAACAGAATTATCATATGATCCAGCAATTCCACTCCTGGGTACATACCCAAAAGAATCAAAAGCAGTGTCTTGAAGAGATAACTGTGCACCTGTGTGCCAAAAGGTGGAAGCAACCCAAGTGGCCATCAGTGTATGAATGGGTAAACAAAATGTGGTAAACACATACGATGGAAAACTATTCAACCTTAGACATTCTGACACAGGCTACGATATGGATGTATCTTGAGGACATTATGTTAAGTGAAAGAAGTCATTCACAAAAAGACAAATACTGTATGATCCCACTCATACGAGGTATCTAGAGTTGTCGAACTCATAGACACAGAAAGCAGAATGGTAGTTACCAGGGGCAATGGGAAGTTGTTTAGTAAGTATAGAGTCAGATTTGCAAGAAGAAAAGTTCTGGAGACCTGTTTTGCGACAATAGGAATATACTTGACAAGAATGAACTGTATACCTAAACATGGTTAAGTTGGTAAATTTGTAATCACAATTAAAAATAGTAATGTATCTTCCCACCTAGGAAAATACCCAATATAAACAGCAGTATCCACTGAATAATCACTGTTCACTTCTGAAATGGGGACTAAACAAAAGAAGTGTGACTAGATAACGGATGTGAAGGAGAGAACCATGCCCACACTGTGAAAAAAACAGCAGTCACACACAGGTCTGAGGGTCAGGTCCACTCACCAGCTTCAAATACAACAACAGCAAGTACTCAGAGGCAGTTCAGAGAGGGTCCTTGACTACTGATAAAAAGTCTGCAAAGGACGCAGAGCTTACCTTCCCATAGCTGAAGACTCTGTGGAGCAACTGAAGGCCAGATGACAAGATTGTTGGCTTCAAAGAGAGGATTGGTGAACTTCCTCAGTTCACTGGGCCGATTGACCCAGGACCACAGAGACATCGTTTTCTGCTGCAGCTTCAACTTACATCTGATTACAAGGAAGAAAACTGCATTAAAGCAATTAAATGATAACAACGACTATTAAATGCTCCTCCCAAGAGGACAGTTTCTTCTCTCTCTGTGTTAGAAGGCAGAACACAAAACTTTTAACAGATGAATAAAATAGTGTAAAATAAAAATATTTGTCAGAAAATTCAACCAGCATTATAACTCAGTAACAGCAAAACTATTTCACAGGCTTCAAGGCCAACCAGAAGGATAAAACCAGAATCTGGTGTTAAACATTAACCCAGAGAACAGACCATTACTATATGCAAAATCCTTTATTGTATCTGGCACTGTATTTTATCTTATTTTTTAAAGATTTTGTTTATTTATTTGATAGAGAGAGAGAGCGTGTGAACACAAGCACAGGGAGTGGCGGAGGAAGAGGGAGAAGCAGACTCCATGCTGAGCAGGGAGCTTGACATGGGTCTCGATCCCAGGACCCTGGGATCATGACCTGAGCCGAAGGCAGACATTACTTAACTGACTGAGCCACCCAGGTGCCCCGGCACTGTATTTTAATTTAAAATAGCTAAATATAAAAATAACTTTCTTTTTTGTTTTGGAAAAGTCTAGAATGCAAAGAACAAAGATTACAGACATATTAAAAATAGAGGTTGAGTCAAATCTCAAAGCCTAAAATTTTTTAGAGACTTAGCTTTTAGGACAAATAAATTACATGTACATAAAATGCAGATGGACTGTCAAAGATTAAAAATGAATATGTATCTTGATGTAAATACAGATTCAATCTACATTTATATACAATGAACAGCCTTCACAATAACCCTGAAATTCTGTAACACTCTTTTATCATAGAATAAACTCACAGGGATAGAACATGAACTGATACATTTTGGAAAAAATAAATTTTAACAAGAACTGAAAGATAATTTGTGGTAAGCCTTACATTAACCAAAAAGATAACATATTCAATTTTCATAGGCTTCTACTCAAGTTGAAGTTTTGCTATAAAATTGGTTTTGTCTCTGAAACTACTTATTAGTTAATTATGTGCACCCTTCTTATGTTAGCAATAAAAAGAATCCACATAATCACAGAACTCCCATGTATACTGCAATTTAATTGCTAGGATAGCAAGTCCTATACTATGTCCCCAGGAACCAGGCATGGCGAGGATAGGAAACCACTGTACCCACTGCTCCTGCAGTAAGTGGTTTGGCCCTGCCCCCCAAACCTATGGCTAGCCAGTCACTGAACTTTTTTCCACCAGAGCCCAACCCATACAGCTTCAGAATCCTTCTCAATCAGCCCTACTCATAGGATCTACCAAACGGCAATCAGAATGGGAGATAAAATGCATTTATGATCCCTTTATTAAAGGCTAGTTCTGGGGGCTGGGGGATATTAGTAAGAAGTCCATAGTCAAACGTATTATTTAAATGCTGAATTAAAGTTATATACGTTGCTTTACTGAAGAGTGTCTTAAAGTCTTTAACAATTACTTTGTGACTTTTTGAGAGGGGACTACATTATACCACATTACCCAAATTTAACCAAGGTAAATCACCAATTGTCCCCCTCCCCCATAAGAGTAGGGGTCTAGGGGTAAGTCGAACATGCCTTAAGAAATGGCAGGATTCGGAGTGCCTGGGTGGCTCAGTCGGTTAAGCATCCAACTTTTGATTTCAGTTCAGGTCAGGATCTCAGGGTCATGAGATCATAATCCACATCAGGCTCTATACTAAGTGCAGAGCCTGCTTAAGTTTCTCTCTCCTCCTCTCCCTCTGCCTCTGCCCCCAGCTCCTGTGTGTGTGTGTATGTGTGTGTGCACATGCATGACCCCCAATTTTCTCTAAAAAAAAAAAAAAAGAAATGGCAGGACAAGACCTAGATTTCTAACATATTTAAGTGCCATGAAGCGTTGCCTTTGTGATGATTATTTGTATGTAATTTTTTTTAAAATTTAGATTCAATTAGCCAACATGTGGTATATCATTAGTTTCAGATGTAGTGTTCAATAATTCATCAGTTGCATATAACCCCCAGTGCTCATATCACTGTATATAATCTTTACTCTCCTAAAAAACAAAAAACAAAAAAACCAAAACCAAAATATAACAGCAAAGCCTTGTTGACATACACAACTTTGTTTTGTTCAGCATTTTAAAAGCATATCTAACCATTGGTGTAATACCTTTTAACACTGCTTGGTATTAGTATCTATCAAAGAAACTGTAAATATGCTTCATTTCACATGCTGACTCCCAACTGCTAAAGGCTACCAATTATCTTTCCTTTTTTAAAGCATCAGATGACATAGAACATGAAATACTTGCTGTCACATTCAGTAGAATCAATGTGCCAGCCAGAGTAATACTGTGGTTCTGTGTCAAAATGCCATCAGTGGTTAAGTTCCAGGCTTGTGGCTAAGCAGGTGATAGAAGATTCAAGGAAGAATGAATGAATGAACTGACATTTTAAAAATGCCTATTATGTGACAGGTATTAGGCTAGTTTTCACATGTGTGTCATTTGATCCTCACTGTAACCCAGTGTGGCAGAGATTAATTTTTGCCTTTAACATGAGCAGAAATAGATTCAGAGAAGTCATATGGCTAGTAAGTGGCAATAGTAGAGATTCAAACTCCAATCTTCTAATTTCAAGTCTTGAATATTTTCCATGAAAGTACACTGGAGAGAATGAGGAAGGAGCTGATGACAGTAAAAAGGAAGGTTCCTAAAGTTTCTCAGAGCATAGTTTAAAATGTTGCATGTAGCTGTGGGACTTCTGGAATGGTAGGGTAAGGACCTCTGTATATCTTCTCCAAAAAGTAATGAAAACAGGGGCAAAAACAGTCAAAATAAATACTTTCACGACTCTGGAAATTAACAAAAGGTTTGTGACAATCTGAGGAACACTCATTCAAGAAAAACTAATGAACCTCTGAAAGAACAGGATTCGGAGCATTTTAACTTGGCCAGTGCCAACACTCTTTCCCCAGCTCTGCACTATCACTGCAAACAAGCAGCCCTGTCTCCACTGGAGGGGCAGACCAGCTTTGGAGCTCCTCAAAAAATACCACCCCCAGAGCACTGTCACGATTTGATGTGTCTGGCAGCTCCCTGGTAAAGGCTCCTTGGTAGAGTCTTCTTGTAGTTATTTGACAGGACTCACAGTTTGAGGTTCTCAGAGGGAAAAGCCCTATTCCCCAGGGTATTTGTCAAAAACAATGAGAGGAAACTATTTAACAGCACAGTTGCCTGAGGCTGTCATGCCAGTTGAGGCAAGTAAGACCCTAGGAAAAATAAAAGATCTGGGGAATGAGATGTCCCTGGGCAGCAGGGGGTGAGATGGGGCTTTGTAAAGCTCTGACATATTCCTGCAAATTCAAAACGGTATGCACATGCCTAGGAAATGCTTGAGATAGCCCCTATTCTTTCTCCTCTGGCTGAACCTGAGGCCCTGTATAAGCTGAAGGCTAAAACAAAGCTGTGAACTACCTGAGTGTTGAAGTCATGCCTAATACACACATAAGGTCCCTCAGCAAAGGAGGAAAAAGTTATTCATTCAGAAGGTAGAGGATCTAATTTCCAGATTTGCCATATTATCTAAAACATCAGTTTTCAAAAAAAGCAAATTACAACACACACAAAGAAACAGGAATGTGTGGTCTATACTCAGGGGGAAAAAAAGCAGTCAAAAGAAATTGTCCCTTGGAGAGGGAGGGCATATTGAACTCACTAGACAAAGACTTTATTTTATTTAGGATTTTTATTTATTTAGTTGGGAGCAAGCAAGAGAGAGAGTGAGCACGAGTAGGGGGAGGGGCAGAAGGAGAGGGAGAAGCAGACTCCCCGCTGAGCAGGGAGCACCACTAGGGGGTTGATCCCAGGACCCTGGGATCATGACCTGAGCTGAAGGCAGATGCTTAACCAGCTAAGCCACCCAGGCACCCCACTAGACAAAGACTTTAAATTAGCTATCATAAATGGGTTCGAAGAGCTAAAGAAAAATGCCTGAGAAATTAAAGGAAAGTATGATAACAATGCTATACCAATGGACAATGTCAGTAAAGAGGTAAAAATTTTAAAAAGAACCAAAGAGAAATCCTAATTTGAAAGTATAACTGAAATGAAAAAATGACCACAGGAACTCAACAGTAGATTTAAGCTGGAAGAAGAATCAGTGAATTTGAAGATAGGTCAATTGAGATTATTAATTTCTGAAGAAAAGAAAGAAAAATTGAAGAAAATTGAAAAGAATCTCCAAACCTATGGAATACCTCCAAACCTATGGAATACCAACATGCACAATGGGAGTTCCAGAAGGAGAAGAAAAAAGGGCAGAACGAATGTTTGAAAAATAATGTCTGAAAACTTCTCAAATGTGATTCTACACACCCTAGAAGATCAAGGAACTCCAAGTAGGATAAATTCAAAGTGTCCACACTAAGACACATCAGTGTCAAAAGCCAAAGAAAAAGATAATTGCAAAACCAGTAAGAGAAAAATGACCCATTACATACAGGGGACCCTCAGTGAAAGTAATGGCTCACTTATCAGAAACCATGAGGCCAGAAAGCAGTGGTATGACATATTCAGGGCACCTGGGTGACACAGTTGGCTGTGTCCAACTCTTGGTTCAGCTCAGGTCATGATCTCCAGGTCATGAGATCGAGCCCTGCGTTGGGCTCTGTGCTCAGTGCAAGTCGGCTTAAGATTCTCTCTTTCCTTATGCCTCTGCCCTTCCCCTCCACACTCTCTCTCTCTCTAAGATAATCTTAAAAAAAAAAGAGACTATTGATCAAGATGTCTATATCAGCAAAACTATGCTTCAAAAATGAAGAAGACTGATGTCACCAAAAATGGAAGAGTAGGCAGCTCCAAATGCCCATCCCTCCAGAGAAACATTGAAAACAAAAGTAGAAACTGTTAGAACCCACTTTGTCAGATTTCTGGGAAATAGAAGTTTACAACACACAAGCAAATGAAGAATCAAGGAAAAGGAAACTTGAAAAACAATAAAAAAGCTTAATGATATTTTTATTTGCTCTTGCCCTACCCTTACCCTAGCTCATAGAAGTCTTGAAGATGGCAGCCCACGCTCTTAGTATGGGACCCTGGTCCCTGGCTTCAGAGGGAATAAAGCAGTCCTTATTCACAAAGAATTGTGTCTCTCTGTTCTAACTTGTCCAAGGGTTACCTGAAGCACCTGTCTTTGTTATATCTAACTTGGAAATCACCATGGGCAGAAAAGTGGTGGGCATTCCTAGAAAACATAAGGTGAATGGACAACCTGTAGCCATCTGGGGGAAAAGATTATGGTTGAGGGGTACAACAGAGCACCAAAAACCCAAGGAAAAAGATTCTTTGGAAAAGCAGTGTATTCACAGTTGCCCATGTATACTGAGGAATTAAGAAAGCCATATGCATGCCTAAGGCAGGAAACACGCTCTGAAAAGGCCCAAGAAGATCCCAAGATTTTGGTTTTGGCTGATCTCTAGGCTCAGTGAGGGCCAGTGAGGGCGAGAAGTGAAGGCTGAGGCCTGACTAAGCATTGAAGGAATATTCCAGCATAAAGCCCATCTGTAAAGACTGCAAAAGGATTTTTTTCCTTTGTCTTGAGTGGTTTTTCCTTTCACTTTTCCCTCCCTCTTTTCCTCTCTCTCTTTTGGCTCCAAGTATTCAAGGAAATCACTGCCAAAGACTAGCTGAACACAAACTAAAGAACAGATACTTCAGGGTGCCTGGGTGGCTCAGTTGTTAAGCGTCTGCCTTCGGCTCAGGTCATGATCCCAGGGTCCTGGGATCGAGTCCCACATCAGGCTCCCTGCTCGGCAGGAAGCCTGCCCCTCCCTCTCCCACTTCCCCTGCTTGTGTTCCTGTTCTCGCTCTCTCTCTCTGTCAAATAAATAAATAAAATCTTTAAAAAAAAAAAAAAAAAGAACAGATACTTCAGAAACTACACGTGAGAAAAAAATACACTTTACAAAAGTTTAGAAAAGTCTAAATAAATAGTTACAGCTTATGGCAAGCAACAAATACAAACTCCAAGGAGTGGGAAGAATCTAATTTCCAGAGAGCTACGTTATAACATTTTAAATGTCCAGATTTAAAATTACAAATGATGCAAGAAAGACCCCTAGAAAGTATGGCCCAGTCATAGAAAAAAAATTAACAGAAATTGTCCCTAAGAAAGCACTGACTTTGCTTTTACTAGATGAAGACTTTAAATCAACAGTCTTAAATATGCTCAGAGCTAAAAAAAAAAAAAACAACCCCAACAAAACAAAACAAAACAAAAACAAAAACTAAGGACAAAGAACTAAAGGAAACAAGGAGAACAAGTCTCAAAACCTAGACTATATCAATAAACAGACAAAATTATAAAACAGTACCAAACAGAAATTCTGGAACTGAGAAGTACAATATCTGAAAAAAACAAAACAAAACAACTCACTAGATGGTTTTAATAACAGATCTGAGCAGGCACAAGAATAAGCAAATCTGAAGACGGGTCAACTTAAATTCCCCATTCTGAGAAGAACAAAAAAAGATTAAAGAAAAATGAACAGAGCCTAAGCAGCTTGTGGGTACCAACATATGCATAATGGGAATCCAAGAAAGAGAAGAGAGAAAGCATGGGAACAAAAGAATATATAAAGAATTAATGGCCAATTGGTCAATTATACCTCAATACAAATAGAAAAAACTGAACACAAAAAGAACCACACACACAAAATTATTAAGGGCTGAAAACTCCCCAAACTTGATAAAAGATATGAATCTACACATTTAGAAGTTCAACAGGCTCTAAGAAGGATAAAGGCAAAGAGACCCATACTGAGACACATTATAATCAAATTTACAAAAGCCAGACAGAGAGAGAATCTTGAAAGCAGCAAGAGAGATGCAACTCCGCATGTAGAGGGATCCTACATCATCCTTCTACAACAGATTTCTTATCAGAAACTAGGGAGGCCAGAAGGGACAGCAATGACATTTCTCAAGTGCTAAAAGGAAAAAAAAAAACAAAAACAAAACCAAAAACTACGTACCAGGAACTCTACATCCCGGAACACTATTCTTTAAAAATGAAGGAGAAATTAAGACATTTCCAGATAAATAAAAATTGAGGGAGTTCATTGCTAGAAGACTTGCTTTACAAGAGAAATGCAAAAAGGAATCCTTCAAGCTAAAATGAAAGGACACTAGACAGTAACTCAAAGCCATATGAAGGAATAACTCAGAAAAGATAACTAAAGGTATAAAAGTAAGTTATTATTATATTTTTTGACTTGTAATTCCTCTTTTTATTTCCTACATAATTTAAAAGACAAACATAATAATAAATCCATGTCAATGCGCAAATAAGAATATAATTATATATAAGAATGTAATTTGTGATAATAACATATAGGGGAGTGGAGCTATGGAAGAGCAAAGTTTTGTATGCCATTGAAGCTGAGTTTGTATTCAAAGTAGATTGTTATAAATTTGGGACATTAGTTGAAATCCACCTGGTAACCAGTAAAAAAAAAAAAAAATTAATATACATAAAATAAGAAGGGAATCATGATAGTACACTATTAAAGTATCAAACATATAGGAAGGCAAGTAATGGAGGAGATGAAGAACAAAAGAGGTATAAGACAAACAACATAAATCTCACACTGGCAGAAATAGGCCATTCCTTTTCAGTAATCACTTTAAACATAAATGAAGTAAACTCTCCAATCAAAATGCAGAGATTGGCAGAATGGACTAAAACATGATCCAACTATATACTGTCTACAAAAGATTCACTTTTGATTCAAAGATGCAAACAGATTGAAAATAAAAGGATGAAAAAAGATTTTCCACACAAATACCCATTCCACACCACGAGAGAGCTGGAATGGATGAAATAAACTTTAGGACAAAAACTCTTACAAGAGACAAAGAAGGATATTTTAAACTGGAATAAAGAGTCAATCGATCAAGAAGATATAATAATTATAAACATATATGTACCTTGCAGCAGAGCCACAAAATACAGGAAGCAAAAATCAACATAACAAAATAGAGAAACTGACAATTCTACAATACAGTTGAGGACTGCAATATCCTACTTTTGATAATGTATCAAACTAGACAGAAGACCAATAAAGAAATACATGACTTGAACAAATGTAAGGCAAATCTAGAATACTCTGCTCAACGACATCAGAGTACACATTCTTCTCAAGTGTACATGAAACATTCTTCAGGATAGATCACAGGTTAGGCCACAAAACAAATCTCAATACATTTTAAAAGACTGAAGTCATACAAATATCTTCTCCAACTACAACAGCATGCAGTTAGAAATCAATAACAGAAGAAAAAACACAGATGAATGAAAACGAAAACACAACATGCTAATACAATGTATGGGGATTCAGTGAAAACAGTGCTCAGATGGAGATTTATAGCAGTAAAAACCTATATTAAAAAAGAAAGATCGGGGAGCCTGAGTGGCTCAGTCCATTAAGCATTTGCCTTTGGGTCAGGTCATGATCCCAGGGTCCTGGGATCAAGCCCTATATCTGGCTCCCTGATCAGCTGTGGGTCTGCTTCTCCCTCTCCCTCTGGCCCTCAACCCCCCTGCCCCACCCCCGCTTGTGCTGGCTCTCACTCACTGTCTCTCTCTCTCAAATAAATAAAATCTTTAAAAAAAAAAAAAAAGAACAAAGATCTCACATCAATAACTTTTAAATCAGTAACTTTACACCTTAAGGAACTGGAAAAAGAAGGGCAAACTAAACCAGTGCTAGCAGAAAGAAGGAAAAAATAAGAGGAGAGAGTAGATAGATGAAATAGAAAATAGACAACAGAGAGCATCAGTGAAACCAAAAGTTGGTTCTCTGAAAAGACCAACAAAACTGTCCTTTAGCTAGGATGACAAAGGAAAAAAGAGAAGAGGAAGCCTTTTGACTGTACCCAATTGAGATTACCAGTTAAGCACCTTTAAAGATAATTATGATAGGTATCTTCTAAATAAACCTATAAACTTGATGGCGTCTGGACTGTGAAAGGAGGCCTGAGGACAGTTTCCAGGGGTAACAGACAAAGTCTGGGGCAGGAGTAGGAAGACCTGTATTATAGCCCTACTACTGGTGACCAACCAGCTGCATGTCCCTGGTCAAGTCATTTAACTTTCTGGGTATTCCCCTCCCAATCTATAAAATTGGATGGAGGGCAGAGCTGGATTATATGTTAAGGATTCTTCCAGATGTAAGATTACTATGATCTTATATAAGGAAATTAACACTTAAAATGGTTGCCCAATTTACTCAAAGCTTTTAAATCAGTGTATGGACTAATTTTAATCTAATAGAACAAAGTCTAGGACATGCTCTCACCTAGCATGTGATAGGCTCATAAGAAGAACACACTTCATGTAATTTAATTTATACTAACTGTAACCTCTACCATCTTATAAATAACATTAATGTAGAACCAAATCCTGGTCTCTTTTAGGAAGTGACCAAAACAGCTACAAACAAAATGGCCCCCATCCCATGTAAGCAGTATACCCACCTTTCACTTTCATTGTTGCCCAGGAATGTTCCAAACTGTGAGGCATATGCATGCTCAAAGAGCATGATGAGGAAATTCTCATTAAATTCAAAAGAACAAGGAAACTGACGAAGTATCTGCCACACACAGTCCAAGAAGAGAAGAAATACGGGTGACTCCCACTTCTGCTTACTATTACAATAGGCTGACTGTGCACAGCGCTGTTGGAATGGGTGGCCAGCCTAAGACAGAAGATGGAAATGTGACAGTCACAGCCTAGTGAGAGCACATTTATAGCACATTCCATTAACATTATTTCACACAGTTGCAACAAAACTCTTATTAAATGGAACATCATATAATTTGGATGGCTGCTATTTAGATTAATGATTTCTTGGTTTAAAACAATTTTCAGCAGCTAAGGAAAAAAACACAACTTCCAAATATTTAACAAGGCTGTGCAGTTAAAGCATAACCATAAGAACTGCAATTATCCTTGGTGAACTTAAAGTAAAATTTTCTAGGTCTCTATAATTTGTAGCAAAGTCAAAGAATATAAGGTCTTTAGGTACCAAACAAAAGACAGCTATCACCTTTTATCTCTCCAAAGCGGTACAGATTATTGTAAACTACATAAGCCTCACCACTAAATGGAAATAAATATGGAGCTCTCACACACAGATTTTATAAGGTCACTCCTGATATTAAATTTTTAATTACATATGGAAAAGAGTTATTATCATGAAGAAATCTTTATGAATACTTTTATATTAGAGATAAAATTGTCCCTAGTTCCCCTCTTCTCTTGAAAAGAACTGGAAGAGTCTGACCTCTACTGACTAAAGGAAATTTAAGAATCATTTGGATCTCTGGCCCACCCAGAAACTGATTACTGACCTTATCCCAAATCACACCCTTTAGGTATTTCACACACTTGCTTTACCTTTAGGTCCTTATACTACCTCATCTGACAAAGAAAATGCTATGAACATTTTCCAGTGGCTAATGGTATTTTGATACCCATTAATATGGTGATATTTAAGTAAGTAAATCACATTCATTTATTTGTTTGCTATGCATTATGAGGATGTTGCTGAAGAGATTTTTACCAAATATTTGAGATGGTCTGACTTGAACAGAGCTACACGTTAGTCATCAGGCAGGGTAGATAGACATGGCATACATAACAGCATTAACACATAATAAATCTGAATTTTAACTAGAAGGGCCAGAAATGATTTTTCTCCAGAGATGATTCTACTTTCAAAATATATCTAAACGTTTCTTAATCACAATTATTTACTAAGTTACACAGTGTATATACATTTATAAGTTAACCTCTGACTTGGGAGGATTTCAATCTATTTTATGAGGCCTTTATTTCAGTTGTCATTCAGCATATGTAATAACACTGCATTATGTCCTAGGGATAAAAGAGAAATTGGGCATGGTTCCCTGACCTCAAAGGAGTCACTTTATTTGGGTCTAGTTTAGGGAACAAGGCATGAAGACAATGGATCGATTTTTAGCTGTGAAGAAGGTTAAGGTCTCAAAGACTTCACGAGAGTAGAGACATGTAGCTATATCTTAAAGCATGAGAAGGATTTCACCTGGTGGGGCAAGAGGAGAGAGTGGAGCCCGACAAGCAAAAGGCAGAAAGTGCTAGAGCACATGCCTTATAATTACAAGTCCTCACACCCCCTTCCTGCCTTGTTTATGTTTTTTATCTCTAGACTGTTTTACATTCTTTGTTATTTCCCCTGTAGGTAACAAAGTACAATTAGTGAGAGTTTGTTGAGGGAATGAAATGCCAAATGAGCAAAATAAGGAAAGAGAGGCACAAAAATTGAGAGGCAGTAAAGATTATAAATGTGTACTGAGAGGAAGAGAGATTAACTGCTCCCAGAAAAGTAAACATACAATTTAAGCATTTTAATCAATCAAAATTTCATACATTCCACTCCTGCAAACTGGGATCACATCAATTATTAGCAGTTCCTGTGCACACCAAGCAGCTTTTCTCACCTGTAGCCACTCTCTTTCTATCAGGGCCTCAAAACCACGGATGGTCCTGCTTCTTGGTTCCAAGATGATCTGGGCCAGGGAGGTAACCTGAAGTGTGGAATCAGTTCCTTCTGTTCCATGGATCAATATGGATGCCCCTTCCCTGATAGAAAAATCCAGAGTACAAATGGGATACTCCCAACATGGTCAATCAACTCTGTTAATAACAAACATTCATTGAGTACAGTATTTCCAACTCTTGCATTCTGCTCTGTCCAGTAGGGTTTAGAGTTGAAATAAGGCACATGAAGAGAGCTTCTCTTAGGAAAGAAAAACTATGGGTTCCAAATTTCACATGGCAAGAACCTCTTTAAGTTATAACAACCTTCACAAAACATTTTAGTTGAATTTTTTCTCCTTTAACAAAACCCAAAAGCAGTCCTTATCACCACAATAGGTGCTTATGTTTTCTGCCTTAATAGTTGATTAAAGCCCTTCTCATCAAACCTAGAAACATACACTTGAAGTTATTTTTCTGTATCTCTCTGACCTTGATTCTACCTTTTCACCATCAGCTGACTATAACGACGCCTTCATAAACTGTAATGTAATGGATCTAGGAAACAAGACCTGAACCACACTTTCAGAAACATGAAAACAAGAAGAAACATTTATTTTTTTAAGATTTTATTTACCTATTTGACAGAGAGAGACACAGCGAGAGAGAGAACACAAGCAGGGGGAGTGAGAGAGGGAGCAGGCCTCCTGCAGAGTGGAGAGCCCGATGCGGGGCTTGATCCCAGGACGCTGGGATCACGACCTGAGCTGAAGGCAGACGCCTATCAACTGAGCCACCCAGACGCCCCAAGAAGAAACATTTAAAAAAAAAAAAAAAAAAAACAAATAAAAAAAACAAGCATAAAACTGTCAATCTAGAAAGTCAGTGGCAATGATATTACTATACCATAATACTTAGAAGGAGTCTGGGACCCCATTATTCTAAAGACAGTAGAAGAAAACACCAAAAACTAAATTAAGTACATCTCCCATTCCCTTCTTCCAACTCTCATATTGAAATGACAGTGAAGAAAATATTAAGAAAAAGGAAAATAACCTCACCACTTTCCCATAAGAATTTCAAGTTTGGTTACTGCTATTAATTCTTGTACTTATATCCTTTATGTAGCTATAACAAAAGGTAATTGCTTATTATTTCCACTTTTATTATGAACATTTTCCCATGTTTCCATATCACCTTTAGAAGTATTGTATTAATGGTTATATAATATTCTTAGGTGATCAACTAAAATTTACTTAAATGTCTTAGGAGTTATTTAGGTCATTGCTAATTTTTGTTACACTGTACTTAGCTTTTTGTCTTCTGTGGAATTATTTGAGAGTTCTTAATTTGAAAATAAGACTCCCTGTCATTCACCTAAGGTTAGGTTAACAACCTCATTCTTAGGATGAAATCTTGTGACTAGGTATGAGCAAGTATTTTAAGGCTTCTGATGTATACATTGAATCGCTATATCTTAGTTACCTGTGGTATATTTTCAATTTAACTCAATTCATTCAAGGTCTAGTCTTACATTTTGAGCAATTAATTACAAAGGCAGATTTTTATGGAGGTATGAGTAATAAGCCAGTATATATCAGAAAAGGGAACCCAAACATGGCAAAATAACCCAAAACCTTCAACTCTTAAGAGAATGTGGAAGTCCCTGTTTGTTTCCGGTGGCCAGCTGAGTCTAAACAAAGGTGGAGTTAAATACTGTTCTGCACCTCAGTTTGCCTTGACCTGCAGCATCCCATTATTATGGCTGCAAACTCAGACAACATGGTGATAAGTGTTCATTGTCATTTACAGTTCATAAGAAACCAGAAGCCTCTGTATTCACCATGCAAGGGGAAATCTTTTTAACTTAGGTTAAAAAGAAATGAAACCCTTCAAATTAATGTCTCATTATTCCGTAATATTGATTTCTCTGCCTCAGAACTTCTTTAACTCCCATATCCCGTAAAGCCTAAGACAAAAAACAGTGACAGCCTGAGAATCCCAACGCCAAAATCTCTACCCATTACTGGTTTTGTCATTAACTCACCACATAATCTTAAGCAACCTGTTCTATGATTAATTTCTCACTAACCATAAAAACATTACATGTGTATTTCCTTAGTTTGGAAGCATCAATAAAACAAATTACAGTCTCAAGGAAAAGTGCCATCCAACTATGTGGTGGCGATTCTTATACCTACCTATTGTTTCAGAGGAATCCCCTTCTTAAAAAGGGCATTCTAAGCTTCTGCAACAACTTATACCAATCCTTCTGCCTCTGTGTTCAAGTCTTCTGCCTCAAGTCTCAAGGATTAGCAACCTTCAACTGAGTGAATAAACTAAAATCACTTCATATACTTCACATCACTGCCCTCAGGTTTGCTCAACTTGAGATCCTGATATAACTACACATATCAAGTAGTTTGTTAATAAGATATCTGAGAAATTAGAAAGAATCATTTTACTGTGTAACAGAATTACATGTTCCTTTTCACCGATATTTCAAAAGTAAGAAGGCAGGTTGGGCCCTCTGAGAGCAAATAAAAAAACTTCTTTTCATTCTTTTTCATGGTTTAAGAAAAGGAAAATTGGTAGATTCACAATTCAAGGATTTTATAGAAAAAAAATAGTTCCTTTAGTACTTAAAAAAAAAGTTGTATCATTGAAGATGTGTGTATATATGTGGTTCATTAATCATCAATAAAATACCAGACTCTATACACATACTTCATCGATAACTGAATGGCAATGACTATCTTATGTAGTAATTTATACAATGATCTGAACACAAGGTATAGACCAGGCGCAAACTTTCACGCAATATATAAACGTAGTCTGGATAAGAGCAAAGTCTAGTTAGCAGTACGTGTCCCATTCTGGAACACTGAAATACACTTTACCTGTCGATACACTGAGCTGCTAGACAAGCAGTTGTAAGAATCTCTTTGATGTGTGTCAGCCAGTTCGAAGCCTCCAATCTACCGAGCCATCGGTCCATGTTATGTGTTTGGTCATTACAAGCTTCCACGAGTTTGATTAAGCTCTCCTGAAGAATGTGATACCTTTAAAAAACAAGAAAAAGTAAAAAAGAAAATAGAAAATACAATGATGAAGGAGAAACCAAACCAAAACCCCAACCTCCACTATATCCAAGAGGCAAAGCAGCTCAAAATAGTATAAAAATATTTACCTTGCTATACAATAACTTGACAATTAAACCCTGAAAAACTAATATTTAAACATGGTTGCAAGGAAGCTTAACACGCCTGTCATGGTAAATCATTCCTCAGATGAACAGATTAAACCAGTTCACGCAGCTGAATTTCCTGACTAGGGAATTGCACAGAACACTGCATTTTGTGACAAGTCACGAGGCCACACCACTGACATCTGCCATCCTGTTCCCACAGATCCAACACTAGACACCCGGTACCTTCAGCAGGGATGGCCAAGGCCAGCTCAGACCCCATTGTTTTATTAGCTCCAACCCCCACCCACCCATTCCAGAAGCCCTGATAAACCTCTAACTGCAAACATAAACAAAAGATATTGGTGGAGGAAATACGCTGTGAGAATAGGTGGGTGTGGGGGAAAGGAAGTCTTTAGTCAGAATTCTGACTTAGAAAAATATACTTATCTGTAGCATATCTGTTCACTAAGTGTGGTGACCAGTGATCTACTAACAGAGAAATAGACCTTGCGGTGATGAAATTGCAGAGTTCACTTAGAGAAAGCATGCTTTTGGGCAAGTCCAAGATTAAGTTTCCCCCTCATCTTATAAAACATGACAGGATATCCAGCCAATTTCTGACTTTAAGTTAATGGGTAGGTTCGTTTGAGAACTTGTGATCTTTGAACAGCTAAGGGCTCACTCACTCTAATTCGCTTCTAATAAGAGTCCATTACTGTCTCGAGTCTTTTACCTCTCAATGGACTTATGAATCCGCCTCCACTGGGGATAATGAGCTTCTTGTTCAAAGCCGCCGCCTTTGGCTCTAGCTTGCTGAGCTACATTTAAAGATCGGGTGTCAATGATGTAGCCTCGTTTTCCTGCCCTGAGGGTAGCATTTATCAGCTTTTCATCTTCTTTGCACCTTCTCCCATTTGTGCCAGTGAGTGGCTGACCACTTCGCATGATTACCTAGAAGCACAATGCAGTTTAAAATTGAAGAAAGCTGCTTTGAAAGTTTCTGAAAACAGAAATGAATTACCTAGATTAAGAGTATCTCAAGAACAATTGTGTGACACTTTGAAATAAATTTGATCCTGAAATAAAGAAACAGCTCTATATATGGAATAATTAATAACTGTAAAACAAAAATAAGCCCTGCACTGTAACAGTTTTTCTTCCTAATATCTCAAAATATTTCCACATAATACATTATAATTGCTAAAGAGATCAAACATTACAATTCATTTAGTCAGTAAATTGTTTACTGGACACAGCCTTGTAATACAAGAATAATGGTGCCGGTAAACTTCTGTTTCAACTACATAAACAGGGTTGGCAGGTTTTATCAAGAATTATAGGGATGACTGGGTGGTTCAGTCGGTTAAGCGTCTGCCTTTGGCTCAGGTCATGATAGTCCTGGGATCGAGTCCCGCATCAGGTTCCTTGCTCATTGGGGAGCCTGCTTCTCCCTCTGCTTGTGCTCTCTCTCTGACAAATAAATAAATAAAATCTTTAAAAGAATTGTAAAGGGCCACCTGGGTGGCTCAGTCGGTTAAGCGTCCAACTTTTGGTTTCAGCTCAGGTTATGATCTCAGGGTCTTGAGACTGAGCCTCATGTCAGGCTCTGCATTCAGTGGGGAGTCTGCTTGAAATTCTCTCCCTCTGCCCCCCTCAAATAAATAAATCTTTTTAAAAAGGAAAAGAATTATAAAGCGAAAAGTCACCAATGGTAAGATAAAAAAGCTTATGTACTATTCTTCTTATGGGAATCATTTTTAGTATCTTGAAAGCTGCTTGTCTATTATTTATTCTCCTATGGCCCTCTTTCATCCTTTTCAGTATTTCAAGACCTAGAAACTTGTTTCCAAAGACCATCAACTATATATTTTGAAAGTTTGATTTTGAAATTTTTCTCAAGAAATCAGTATTATACTGATCTCTTCCCTGGTGAACAGTTTAGAGTTATTTCCATTTCATCCCATAATATATACTGTTATATTAACTACCTTGAAATTTAACATGATGAAGAAAGGTCATCCAGAAGATGACAACAGTTAACTCCCAGTCTGTGCTAACCATGTACATGGACACATAGTAAATTTAATATTTTTTAAAATGCTTTGTAATGAACACTGATTAACAGAAATACTACTGAGCAAACAGGATAGATGACCTGATGTCAAAGTAGCAAATTTTTAGAAATCTTTTTATTCTAAATATCCGTATTTACTATCCAGGGAAAAAAGGGAAATGGAATATGACTATAACTTATTTACTACTGGTTTCAAAATGAGAAACAGAGTTACTGACTGAGAGAAAATAAGAGAACAGAAATAGATTTAGAAAATATTTAGGGGGCGGCTGGGTGGCTCAGTCAGTTAGGCATTCAACTCTTGATTTCGGCTCAGGTCATGATCTTAGGGTCGCAGGATCGAGCCCCACATCAGGCTCCATGCTCCTGCTTAGGATTCTCTCTCCCTCTGCTCTACCCTACCCTCACCCTCATCTCGTGCACTCTCTCTCAAAACAAAAAAAAAAAAGAAAGAAAATATTTAGGAAACACACAGCAAGTGCTTGCCTATTCAAGTACTGACTCCTGTGTTTACTAAAGTTGTAACAATAACATGTGTCACTCTTCTCCATTTTGAAAATAAAAATGTCTGCTCAATTTACCTTTTACAGGGAAATTTAGTAAAGATAATTAAAATAAAGTATCTTACCACTATTTTGGTTGGAGAAATTTATTTTTCTACCTAACAGTATTATTTTAAGTGTCAAATGAACATTAGTTCCCTTTGTACTGAGTCCTGAAGATAAGCCTATCTGGCCTTTCTAATTTTGAGCAGCATCATGAAAAGAATTCAAAATCATATCCTAATCACAAAACATACTACGCCTGATTCCCTAAAGTTTAAAAGAAGGAAGTCATAGCAGGAGAGACTAATCACATCTATGAGCAAGTACACAGAAAAGGGAATATTTCTAAGACAAGATCCGCAAACGAAGACTTTCACTGGATCAAGCAGCAGTACCATACACTTACTCACCATTCCATTTTTTTTATGATAATAGCTGAGTACTGGGAAGCGTCCTCCATGTCGAAACATAGCTACCTTTCGAAGAGCTTCATCATCAATGGATCTGGGAACTATGACAATTGGCGGGTAAGAAGGGCAGACGGCAAATTCCTTATTGACATAGCTTAACCTCCATTCACTGGTCTGAAAAACACAAAATACTTCAAAGCTAAGCAAGTATCTCAATGTCACAAAATAATCTGAAAATTTTAAAAGGATCTTAGAGATCAACTTTCATACAATGAAGAAGCCATCTCTCAGGAATTTAATATAAGGATACCTAACCCATACTTGAAGGAGTTATATTCTTCAGCATCAGCTTCTTGCTATGCTAGGGATCCTCGGTTCCTAGAAAGTGTTTCCTTATATTGAGCAAAATGTGGATACTGTAACTTCCTCTATTGTTTTTACTGTGATTTCAGCACAAATGCCTATTTCACATGGCATCCTATTAGCTGACATCATCCCATTCATCTTTTTGGGTATCATTTACTTTTTTTTTTTGGTACTCTTCAGTATAGCAACAGGAAGAGTATAATACTCCAGATAATGCTCAACCAGAACAGATGAGACTAGAGCTACTACATACATCAAATCCCTTGTTCTCTTCTGTTATTTGAAAAAAAAGGAAATCTAGAAAGACTGGTAATATCTTTCTTAAAACAATAACGACTTAATACTAAAAAAAAGTTATACTTAGGAATCAATGAAATAATTTCTAACTCACTATACTAAGGACTAAAAGTATACAACATAAAATTATCCAATGACAACTTACTTCAAACATCAAAAATAAAAACCACTTGAAGACTGTAAAAAGCTTTTTACAGTTAAAAAAATAAAATTATGTATATGCACATTTTGATATATTCCGATAAATCAGAGCTGGCCTAACATGCTGGTCATGGGTTGCAGTACCAAGAAGATAAAATCGAAGTATGTTCAGCATACTGTAGAAAAAGAGAACTTTTTTAAAAAACGCTTTTACATGATACCATATATTTTTAAATTAAGCCATTTTCATTTTTCAGTTATTCTCTTTACCAATTTTAAAGAGAGTTTCTAAAAGATTTATTGTTTAAAAAAAAGGAATTTACCTGTTTCCTGCTCACCTCCATCTCATAATTCCCTTTCCCCAGAGGCAACCATTTTCAACTCTTTTAGCTTTAACTCTGGCGTTTACCTCCAAATTTCTAAATAATATGACTATACTATTAGCTCTTGAATTTCACGACCAGGCATTACTTATTTATTTCCTACTCTGGAGAATGGTATGATCGTCCACTGACCTGCAATACCACTTTCTGGCATATATTAAGTTTCCATACATAGAGGGCTCTCTATTCTGTCCCACTGGTTTATTTGTAGTAAGTCCCATAGCTTTTAGAATAGACTTGACATTTAGTAGGCTAAGTCTCCTCCTCCCTCTTTTTTTTTTGCTCTTCAAGAGTACCTGGGCTCCTCTCAGTCCTCTGCTTCTCTGTGCAACTTTTATCAAATTTCATGTAAAAACCCACAGCAGTTTTAACAAGACTACACTGACTCTACAGATTCATTTGAAGACAATTACATCTTTAAAATATTCAGTCTCCTTGTCCATGAGCACAGTGTCTCCTACCTTTTTAAAGCTTTCTTAATTTTTTCAATAAAGTTGTATAATTCTCTCAGTAAAAGCCTTGCATATCTTTTCTTTGATATATTCATAGAAACCTTATATTTTTGTTGCATTTTAGTTGTTTTCAAAATTGTGGTTGGTGTAGAGAAATGCTTACAATCTCAAGATTCTTTCAGCTTCCTGCGTACACAAGCATATAAGCAACAATGACAGTCTTGCTTCTTTCATTTCAATCCTTGTACTTCTTATTTTTCCTTCTTGTCTTACTGAACAAGCAAGGAGTAGTGGTTGGTGGGCATCTTGTCTCATTCTTGAACTTAAGGGAATAATATGTTTTGTATGTTTTTGTTTTGGGTGGCTTTATCAGATTTACCAGGTAGCACTTATCAGATTATGTAAATTCACTTCAAATCCAATTCTGCCAAGAGCTTTTATCAAGAATAGATGTTTAGTTCTATCCTATTGGGTTTCTTTTCTATTTTAATTTTATTACACCATTTATGTAATTTGTCTTTCCTCTCTAATTTTGTGATATTCTCTTTGCCTTACTATTTAATAGCTATACTACAACACATTAAGTAAAGATTTCTTTTTTATTGTCTTGCATGGTGTTTGCTGAGACACTTTAATCTAAGAGCTTGTGACTTTCATGGATTCTGGAGAACTCTAGACCATTACCTATTTAAATAGTGCCTCTTCCATTTTCTCTATTATCTTCTTCCTGAACTCCCATTTAATAAATGTTGTTGGGTCTCCTCCCTGTATTATCCATGCATATCTAAATTCTCTTATCATTTTTCCCATCTTCCTTGTTTCTCTGCTCTGTACTCTGAGCAATTACTTCAGATCTATATTTCGGATCATTGATTCTCTTTGTTTCTAATCAGCTACTTAACTTTAAGTTTTTTCTCTTCTTTTTAATCAACTTTGAGATTTTATTATTTGTATGAAAAATAAACTAGATCCATTTAGAGTGCATGATTTCCTGAGTCTTTGACAGTTGTATACACCCACGAAACCACCCCACCACAATCAAGATAACAAACATTTCAATCATCTCCCACAAAATCCCACGTGTATTTTTGTAATCTGTATCTTCCCCTCCACATCCCAAACTAGGAAGTCATTAATCTGCTTTCAGTCACTTTCGGTGTTTATCTAAAAAATCTTTGCCTAATCCAAGGTCATAAAGGTTTTCTCCTGTGTTGTCTTCAAAAAGTTTCACAGTTTTAGCTCTTATTTCATCCATATATAGGTCTACACTTATACCAATAGGGTATAGCTCTTATTTCATCCAATAGGGTATTAGCTCTTATTTCATCCATGTATAGGTCTTCCTCATACCACAGTCTCTTGATTATTATAGCTTTATATTAAGTTTTAAAATCAATGCAAGTAAATCATTTATTTTTTTGAAGTTGTTTTGGCTATTCTAGTAACTTTGCATACTCACATACATTTTAGGATAGCTTTGTCAATTTAAACAAAACAGCTATTGGAATTTTGAGAGGATCTGCATTGAACCTATAAATCAATTTGGAGACAACTGTCATCTTTTTAAAAAAATTTCATTTATTTATTTGAAAGAGAGAGAGAGAGAGAGCACAAGCGGGGGAGAGGGGAGCGGCAGAGGAAGAGGGAGAAGCAGGCTCCCCGCTGAGCAGAGTGCAACATGGGGCTTGATCCCAGGACCCCAGGTATCATGACCTGAGCCGAAGGCAGACGCTTAACTGACTGAGCCACACAGGCACTCCAGAGACAATTGTCATCTTAATGAGAGGTCAGCAAACAATAATCTGCAAGCCAAATCCAGCCTACTGCCCATTTTTATAAATAAAGTTTTACTGGAACATAGTACTACCAATTCATTGATGTGTTATCTATTGCTGTTTTCATGCTACAACAGCAGAGTGGTACAGTTGTAACAGAGACTGCATGACTCACAAAGCCTAAAATATTTACTTTGTTGTCCACTACATAAGTCAGCCCACTACTGATCTTTTTTTTTTTTTAAAGATTTTATTTATTTACTTGAGAGAGAGAATGAGAGAGAGCACATGAGAGGGGGGAGGGTCAGAGGGAGAAGCAGACTCCCTGCTCAGCAGGGAGCCTGATGTGGGACTCGATCCCGGGACTCCAGGATCATGACCTGAGCCGAAGGCAGTTGCTTAACCAACTGAGCCACCCAGGCGCCCAGCCCACTACTGATCTTAACCATACCGTCTTCTAATCCATGAACATGGTATATCTCTCATTTATTTAGATATCTTTAACTTCTCTCTGCAATGTTTTGTGTTTTCCAGTGCACAGAATCTGCACTTCTTTTGTTAAATTTATTCCCAAGTATTTTATTCATTTTCAGACTCCTTGTTGCCAATACAATTAGTTTTGGTATATTTATATCGAACAACCTTGCTTATGAGTTGTAAGTATTTTATTGATTTCTACTCTTATTTTTATTATTTCATTCTTTCCAGTTACTTTGTTCTTTTTTTCATAGCTTAAGTTGGTGATTTTGGACCTTTTCTCCTTTTTTAATCTAAGCATTCTAAAGCTGTAGGTTTCTCTTTAAACACTGCTTTAGCTGTATCCCACATATTTTGATGATGCATTTTTATTATCATTCAGTTCAAACTATTTTCTCATCTCCTTTATGATTTCATTTTTGACTCCCAGATTATTTACAAGTATTTTGTTTAATTTAGGATATTCTACTAAAAAAACTAATTACCTTAGTTTACTGATTTCTAATTTAACTTCTTTGGACCTAGAGATTATACTTTGTATGCTTTCAATCTTTTTAATATTGAAATTTATTTAATAGCCCTGCATTCAGTCTCTCCTGGGGAACATACCATGTGCTCTTGAGTACTATATCTTATACAGAAGTTGTGACTAGCATTCTACAAATATCAGTGTTGTTCAAATCTTCCATGTCTTGTTTTGTTGTTGTCTAGTTGTTGTTTTTAGCCTAGTTGTTCTATTAATTGCTGTGTTAACAATCTCATACCATGATCAAGAATTACTTATTTCTTCCTAACTTCTATCAATTTTTATTATTAGGCACATATATATATAGTTATATCTTCCTAAAAATTTTATTATTATGGAATGACCCTTTTTATTTGATGATATTTTGTCTTGAAATCTTTTTTTTTTAACTCCTTAATTAATGCAGCTACTTCTGTTTTTTTATCCACCGCATATTTTCCCATTTATTTATTTATTTTTCAATCTATGTCTTCATATTCAAAATGCATCTCTTGTACACAGCTTGTATTTGGATCTTGCCTTCTTTTTTTCTTTATGTCAGTCTGACGATCTTTGTCTTTCAATAGGAGTCTTTAGCTCATTGATACTAAAATAGTTGTTGATACTGCTGAAATAGAGTTTAACATTTATTTTCTGTTTATCCCTTCAGTTTTTATTCCTATTTTTTCTTTCCCACCTTCTGTCAGATTTAAATACTTTTTAGAATTGCATTTTAATGTACATATTAACTTTTAATTTATACCTCTTCCCATTTTTA